GACTTTTGTTATCGAAAAAACCAAGATTTGGAGAAAAACTTTCGAATTTTTGCCGAATTCTGCTCATAAACAAGTTATAGACTCGTCTTGAAAAATTTGTTGAACTGAACATTTTTAGTAGCGTACTTGAAAACCTGATTTGACTATATCCAGCGAAAATAACTGGTGCTATACATTCACCCCACTACAAAATGATTGATTGTTCATTCATCACAAATCGGGGCGAATCAATAACGCTTTAGAGCTCTCCGAAAAACTGCTGTAGAGTCTGTTCTCGACAAGATTTTTGAAATCTGAAAACGGTAAATTAAAGAAAAATATTTGCTGTACATTGTTTGCGAAGAAAATTGTTTTTCTATCTTCAAAGATGACGAAGATATAAAGCTTGAAAGCTGAAAATACAAAAAAGCCTTTAGATTCGTCTCGCATGTCTCTAGTTAGAAAAAGCAATGCACGAATTGTAATGATGAATTAAATACGTTTATTTTTAAAATGTAGCAGATATTTCAACAGCTAGATTAAATATAAAGAAAAAGTTTATAGTCATGATGAAGTGATTTTCAGCAGCTGAATTAAATATAAAAAAAGAGTTTATAGTCATGATGATATGATTTTCAATCATCCGAATCTTGTGAATTGATTTCACCTAATACAAACAAAAATAAAATTCTTTAAAGAGATAAGAGAATAATTTACATTGAGATAAATTCTTCATGTAGTTTAAAATTCCTTCTCGAACAGCTGAAACCTAAAATAAAAGTTTATATATTGTAATTAATAGAGATAAATAATAGAATATTTACACGAGTAATCCCATGTGCCATTTCTTCAGCATTAGTAAAAACTTCAGTGTTTAAATTATTGTCCACACCACGAAGTATTGCACGAGTTAAACTATCCTTCATTTTCTAATGAAAGAAGCAAATCTATTAAACGAAAAATCAGCATTAACACTCACAAGATTTTCAATGTGATAGTGCTGTTTTAACATTGTAAGTACTCGAAGACAATCACCTGATTTGCAGCTACCTTGTGGTTTAATTAAAATACAATGACCTTTAATAATTTCTTCAACACATCGTTTTTCGTGAGAGTTCTGAAACATAAAAAAAAATTATTAGCAGCTGCTATTGACTTTTTGTTAAATAGTCAGCAACACCTCATCGATTATTGCCATTCATTTTTCGAGTCAATTCTAATTTGTATTTTTTTTTTTATAATAATAAAGCCCGACAATAATTTTCTGTCTAAGAAACGATAGTGAGCAAGAGACTAACAAAAGAAAGAAAAACAAAGAGAAGAAGACGAGGAAGAAAGAAAAGCAATTACATACCATTTATGCCTTGTTTCTTTTTTTGGGTTCACTTTAGCGATCAGAATTGAAGGTGTGATTGAAACTGCTCAAGCAATAGCAATAAAGAAGAGAAATACGATGACGAAGAATAAATCGACAGTTAATTTACTACGTAGTAGAAGAAAACAATGTTATAGTCATATGGTAATTAGGCGAACTGATAGATAGTATTGCTTATATAGTATCGAGCAAATCGAACGTGATAATAAGACATTTATGTATGATGCTATCAACTTGCATTCTCTATACAAAGGTTTATTACGAAATAGAAAAGATTTATTTAGAGGTACGATAAGTAAAAAAGTTGTCTCGTATATATAAAAGTAGAACATTTTTACTAATTCTTTTAAAAATTTTGTCAGAAAAAAAGATTTCGAAAACAAAACTAGAAAAAGTTCTGTGTTTCCATTCACAGGAAAAACTTTTGTTACAATTTATAACTCATATTGAACCATTTTTAGTTTTGATATTTTATCTTCCTTTTAGTGTATAGCCATATTTAATCCCTTTCTCATTACAGTTTACAATGTGTAGGATTTTTCTTAAATGTCGATCATCAGCCTAATCATTTGACTGATCATATTCCACTTTCTGATTGATAGAGCAATACTTGAATAATATACAAGAAAAATAGAATATATATTATAATATCACTTTATACAAACAAATATATTCAATGTATTAATACGATCATCCTTTTTAATTGTTATGGCCTCGATTCATATGTCAACAAAGAAGATGAACTTATTCGTATCGATATTTGTTTCTCTGAAAAAAATTTTTCTTGTACTTAACTCATTCAATCCAATGAGACCTACCGATGAGTCTCACTATATTTTAACAAGAAACTTAGTAGAACGACACATTCTTTTCTCGTTTCCTTAGGCAGGAGGTTGCACGTCATATGTCATCTGCTCTGTCTTTGTTGTTGTTGAAATCATTAATTGCATAGTGTGATACTTCTCGTTAAAACAATCAAGACAAAAAACAGTTGTCACAATCAGAATAGAAAGTTTTTATTTTCTTTGTTGTTGTCTGATTTGTTCATAGCGCCTTCGGACAGTGCGCATAGATCCTTTCTTTTGTTCGAGCTATTGGTCAGCAAGTTTACGGTTTGGATGGCTTTTTGATTTTTGTCCAGGATCAGTTTTCAACTTTTCGAATGGCATGCCAAGAAATAAAGATCGCACAAGACATTTCGTGAAATTGCAGAATGGTCACTCCGCTTGTAGGATAGTTTTCCTTGTATATCAAATAGCTATGAACTAATGCCCTCTCAAAAATCGATTCAAATGTTACCTTTCGATACCATTTTATTCACCGTCTGAGACATGTATAATATACTGATAGCTAGTCTGATAGATCACTACCTTGTCTCCCTTCGTTGTAATCTGTGTCCACTGTCCGAAGGCGCTGTGCTAGCTCCTATGAACAAATCAGACAACAACAATCATGGAAAGCAAATCATGCGACAGCAAAGAAAATAAAAACTTTCTGTTCTGATCGTGGCGACTGTTCTTTGTCTTGATTGTTTTAATGAGAAGTATCATGCTATGCAATTAATGATTTCAACAACAGTGAAAGCAGAGCAGATGACATATGACGTGCAGTCTTCTGTCTAAGAAAACAAGAAAAGAATGTGTTTTTCTACTAAGTTTCTTGTTAAAATATAGTGAGACTCACTGGTAGGTCTCATCAGGTTGGATATGTTAATTTGCGTCTGATGATATTATTTGCAAGAACGAAACATAACATATATTAATTAAAATATTTAATAAAATTATAGATAGTTTAGTTGCTATAGTTTTTACAATATTAAAAATTAATCCATTTATTTTTGTATTCTTATTTCCAATATCGGACAGAAAATACTATTTGTTTCATAGGAATTCCGCAAATAAAAGTAACCGCCCCCATTGAACTGGTATGATTTCTTTTGATATTTGACTGGTATTTTGGATAGAGACTGGTCTCAGTGAACTCTGATCGTAAGCACCACCCCGCCCTCAATCAGTTGAGATACAGTGAAGTTATCAGTTCAACAATATCATTACATTGTGAAAGTCATATCTCAGTCATCTTTTGATATTAGTATTCGCGCAATTCCTCATTCATAAGCATATTGATGCAGCTATCTACAGTAAAAAATTGGTAAGAAGTTAGTCTAGAATAATGGAGTTCTGAAGTTCACATTGAAAACTTTCACCAAGTAGTAAGGCATAGTTTCCTTTAGAAGGTCAATAACTCGAGTTTAACTCAATCAATTGAGTTGAAAATTTCAGCAATAAGTTCTAATGAGCTTCTAAGTTTATGGTAGAACTTTCAGACCTGTAGCTCATTGTTAAGTCGAGATAGAGCCATCAGAAAGGTTCATCAGGGTATGTTTTGCCAATCGATAAAATCACTCTATTATGCGATGAGCTTTGGCCACAAGAAACTGCGTACTATGGGCTACAATTAACGCAAAAAAAATTGTAAATTGTACAGAGACAACATAGCAAACGAATATTTTATGAGATTGTATTTCCGTGCGATTGCTCCAAGACACAAGTAATAGTGCTTTGATGCATGTGAAACTTTCGAATACTACGAAATTTATGCTCATTGTTTAGAAAATGTTTATTTTTGGTCAGAGCACTCTAGAAAACCTATCAATGACGTTAATTCAATTAATAAGAAACTTTATGAGAATATCTGAATGAGGAGTTGCGTGAATACTAATATCAAAAGATGATTGAGATATGACTTTCACAATGTAATGATATTGTTGAACTGATAACGTCACTGTATCTCAACCAATTGAGGGCGGGATGGTGCTTGCGACGAGGGTTCACTGGGACCAGTCTCTATCCAAAATACCAGCCAAATATCATAAGAAATTATACCGGTTACTTTTGTCCAGGAGTGTATATATTGAAGATAATGAAGAAGCCCAATAAAAAAAGATATTGTTCAATAGAAAGACGAACGCTATCTTATTCTATATAAAAATGAAATGTTTCAATACCCTAATACATAATAGTCATTGGAAAAAAATTACTTGGGAAACGGTCTGAAAGTTGATCAATAAAAAAATCTCTTTTATTTTGCTGCTTTTCGAAATCTATCGAATTTTTGGACAATCAGTTGCTATAACCAAACGAGAAGTCTCTATTAAAAAGAAACTCGAATTGATGAATTGTCTTGTCCTGCATTCTTATTTGAAGATGAGCAATGTGAAAAACTATTTCTCGATTCAATGATCAATTTTAGATTCAAAAAATTTAACAGAAGAAAAAGCAATAACTAATGATTACTTTCTATAATATCATATAATACGTTAGAAAATTTTCTTTTTCCTTTGAGATTTCCAAACCAAAACGAACTTAGTTCACTCATGTGATCGTATGTTTCCTTTTATTTAATTTCAATTTGTATGCTTACATTTGTAGATAATAGAGAGGACTCTTAAATTAAAACAAATATTATTTGAACGCAAAGATATAAATATTGATTTAAATTAAATTTTTGTAAAATGTATCTGCTGATTTGAACTTACTCGATTGCTCTCATGTTTAGAGAAATGTCGTTATTTTTTTATCGTTTTCGACACTATGACATAAGGAGAAAGAAAAATAAATTAAAAATAAAAGAACATTTTTGTGTACTCAAAAAGTGAGTGCATTCTAGGATCGGTCAGTATGTCCGACCATTTACACGATAACTTTTCAAAGGAGAATTCGATCATGATGAAATTTTCTACACAGTTTCGTCTCATCAATATTTCGGTGGAGTTCAAAGATGAGAATGATTCGTCGAGCCATTGCTGAGTTATCGCAAAAAAGTCATTTTTCCCTATGCTTTTCTATGCGATTGTTGATCCATCTCGGTTTTCGTAAAAGAACTTTTTCTCTCATAATCAAACAAAACCCCAACTATTATATACCATTCGACAGAGAATTTCACGGGTGTGGGATGTGAGTGTGGGTGTTGTTTTCTTTTAAGTCACACCCAATTTAAACGTACGATTGATAGTAAATAACGAGTAAAAGTAACATGATCTACATATTAAATTCAGCATCAATGAGAATGTTTGATCTATTAAATGAAATATACAGATCTTTGTTTGTTGGGTTTTTGTAGTATTACTTCAGATTTGACACAGTTTCATTATATCCAATAAAGTGAAATCGACTTCGTCTAAGAGCATCTACGTTCTTTTATGCTATTCACAACCAGACAGAGTGAAGCATGTCAGTTAATCACAAAATCATTGTATGCAATATTTTTTGTATTTTTTTTACTTTTTGTTAATTTAATATTGTGTTTTTCATTTTATTTACATAATCAAAGGAGTCTTTTATATATTAATAGCTTTTACTAAATATTTCTTTATTTAATACATATCAGTTTATAGTTTTAGAATATCTAATTTAATATATGATTCGTTCTTCTTTTGATTAAAATAACCAAGAGACATCTGTTTTTTTTAATGCTATTGACCATATTGATTATAACTTTTTTCAATATTCATATTTAAGAAGATTCAGATGATGTTAGATTTTGCTAATAGAAATCGTCAATTCTCATTGTTCATGCCATTTTTCATCTAATCCTTCCAATATCACTGCACTATTTCGTGTAATAACTATTTGACTACTTGATATCCTAGAACATCTTGAGTTCTGAGCTTTTCAAATTAGTAACTAATTGCAGACAATATTATCTTTATATATCGATAGATTTTCTTGGTAGAACGAATTCTAATGTTTCAATAATGTAATACATAAAAAATATTATGATTGTAGACTGTTTGTCTTTGCTATGTCAGACTGTTATTTCAC